ACTCTTGGTTAAAGGGTGTGACCAGCAAGTCACCTTCAAAATTACCTAAACATATCTAAATCTATTTTTTTTCTTTGGAATTGCATGAATCCATAGGCTTGAATTAGCCGTTGGGAGCTTTCTTTAGAGCTGGCTTCTCAATGCACAGTTTATACATGCGAGACTCAAACCGGAGTTTCAAAGAGTCCTATTATGAGATATCTGCCACATGTGACAACTTGTGATAGGATGAAAAAGAACATTAAGTTAGGCTACAAACTATATATTCGGGACATAACTCCCTATCAATTTATATTTTATTTGCTGAAAATAACTGACCTTTAACAGACAAGTGTTGAGAGAATTACTTTCGGTCAGTGACAAATTAAATTCAATTGGCCATTGCACGTCTAGCTTATTGACAATAGGGCAATCGAAAGTATGTATCAGCTGGATCCCAGAATTTGCTTTGGAAACTTCTATTCGTATTATGTCGTCATCTTTTGAAATATTCGAGAGGGAGGCAGAAACCGGTGCCAGGTCGATGAGGATTAGAGCCGTGGGCCAAATTATGTCGTTAGAGGTCAGAGGCACGTCGGAAACTTTCACTTCGAATATGAATTGAGCGGATCCATTTATGTACAAGCTTTTCCAGTTCTTTAATCCCATGCTGGAAATAGCTAATTCGCCTAAATAGGAAAAAATAGAGGTTTTATTGCTCTTCAAATGATAATGCTGAAACGTTCACGATAATGTGAGCGAATATAGAAATGTACTGCATACCGTTTATCAAAGCTACAATTTTTAAGGCATCTTTTGTAAGGTAATAGGAGCGAAGGAGAGAGCATACAAAGTCTAATATCAGCTTTGCTCTGGTAAAAGGGAGGTAAGAGGCACCAAAGCATAAATTTCCCCTTTCCAACTCCATTCAGCAGGATCTCACCAATGCATCTCTTGTGCTTAAAATTGTGAAAATTAACCTAAAGAGAAGACTTCATAACAGTTCCTCAGACAATTTACCTATCATTAACTAAGAAGAAGAGCATTGAGTTGCCATTGTCGCCTACACTGATTAGCCTCTCATATGCATAATATGCCTTGTAGACTAAAGTATTCTTACTAGTTAGTCTTGGGAAATTCTGAAATACTAACCAGGCAACAGGATTTCGTTAGTCCGACAGAGAAGCAGTTATTCATGCCTAAATAAATTTCGACCATGCGACTTAGCTTATTTGTGGCAATGGGGCTGAACAGATTACCTTTTAAAATATGATTTAATGTTGACAACTAAACTCTCGAGTATCAAGTAATGCTTGTGTGAAAAACGAGCTATACATTTTTTTCTCCACTAATTAATAAGTGATTATTAAATTTTATATACGAAAAGTAACTGGGTTTCGATGAATCTCATGAGACAACATTGTTGGGGAGACTTTCATTTCATATGAAAGTGCATGAATAAGAGATTCGAAGGTAGATCTCACCAGAAGAGGACAGATGATTCGCGTTTAACCTTGAACGTCGTATTAAAGACAAACGGTGGAAGTATGGCGGGAATCAGCCTTCGTCTTTTGGTGAGATCGACCTTCGAATTTCTTCTTCGTACACTTTCATACGAACTGGAAGTCTCCCCAACAATATTGAATTTTCACAAGAGGCAGCTATCAGCCCTTCTTCACCTTGTGAGACCTAGGGTGAATAGATCTTCTAGTCAAGATCTACTGATAGTCTCAAAAACTATTTTTAAGAATATTAGCCATTTAATAATAAAACAGACACTTTTAATTTGGTTCTAGACTCAGACAAGATGCTTCTTAGGGCACCTGAGCAAAGATATTTTGCCTGCTAAATCAAATAGGAAGGCTAAATTAAGTTTATGAAATGCAATGATGCATCATTAAGTTTTTGCTTTTTATAAAAGATTACTTGGCAACTTCTTTTTGTTTATTCAGAAATGACCAATGAAATGCACTTTAAAAAAAATTTGGTTGGTTATAAATAAATTTCTCACTGCCTAATGGCCCATGGGCAATAGAAAAAGAGAAAGGCCTAAAAATGAGTCTGAAAAGTAATTCACAGAGAGTACGAAAATGGCAGTATGAGGATTAGGCCGATTTTCGTATCCTATGCAAAGAAGATTTGGGTTCCCTAGAATCTATAGTTTGATAATTTCGAGTGATTCTCTAACTTGAATATGGTTATAAGGAGGATATCCCGCTCTGATGACGTCTGTCATAGGACGGACGAAAGTTTGGCATATTTTCACCGGAATCGAAGAAGATTGCTTCGAAAAAAGCGTCAACAAGAGTGTTCCACTAAAGCCCCTGGACAGCTGGACAAGAAGAATCCGCCGTCGTCTTCTTCTAATCCCTTCACCAAACATTTTCACTAGAAATGAATGCAAACTCAACACTTTTCGTATGTCATGCCAGATCCAACCCATCCCAAAAGCATAAATATAATAGTTTATTGCATTTGGCAGAGTAAATTGAGACAACCTGAGTCATTCATTTTAAATCGTAAGGCACCCACCGCTATGGTGATCTAGATCAATGTGCTCGAGAAGTGGAGACTTGGGATCGGCGAAAGTGAGACTGAATACAACCGTCTTGTATGCTTGATCGGCTCGAGACTGGAACGTTTCCTCGTCTGGATCAGAAGCATGAATGCGGCCAAGTACGATTCGCTTGGTCTCCATAATATCGGTTTCCAGAGTCGAAGGCGGAAGGGAGAAAGTGAAGACTGCTTTTGAGAAACTGGGCACCTATGAACGGAGCGGCAGATGTGGGGCTTTAAGTTCACAGACATGGGGGGTTTATTCAGTCGAACTTCAAGGATAATAATGTTTTTGGCCATTTTGCATGAAAATGTACGACCAATATTGAAAATAGTAATTTCTGTATCTATTTAGACAAACAATGAAAAGCTAGAATATAGTTGCAGCCTGTGCTTTGTGAGTGACATAGTGGCGATGCATAAACAATAGGGTAATCTCCTGCTGAAAATGAAGCTGCACTACTAGTTAATAGGTCTTATTGATATCTGTGGGGCCTGCTCAGGAAACAGTGAAGAGCAGACCGGTGATGCTTTTGTCCAAGACAAAAGCCGTTTTGGTATAAAAGCACAGTGGACTTTGGTACACTGGCAGGCATCTGCTTCCTCACAGCTACGCATGGGCAGTGGGAGCGAGGACTTGCCTCCAGCCGGCTTCGAGGCATTTCACCCCAACAATGTGTACTCTCCTGATCCGGAAGTCTGCATGCGGAAATGCTGAATTGGGGTGTCTGATCTCAGATGAAGAAAAGTGAAATGACTTCCGGTATTGTACTCATCTCGTTCTTACCAATCGGTTATTATAAATGAGACACAGAGAGAAAGAGAGTTAGACAGGCGGGCAGAGAAACAAACATATGGATAGAGAGGTAAAAAAGATACATACATACATACATACATGCATACATACATACATACATACATACATACATACATACATACATACAT